ATGAGTTTCTGCCTATTCCCTGACTCCTTCACACTGTGGAATTGGATGGTCTCTAGCTATCTGAAGAAACTCTCCCCATGGGAACCAGTTAATGAACTATGATTTTCAGCTGAGCTCTTTATCTTCAGGTGTTGTACAACATATATGGAAGGTACTCCTTAAGAAAGGTCCATTTGGCACTTTCACAATTAACATTTAGGTACCAAGGAAAGACCTAATTATTTTCTGCTGCATTGGGTACACTGGGACATTATTGCTTTTAAAGTTCTTGTGACTGGACCCGTGTCACAATGTATGCAGGGTATAGGTAAAATGACACCAGTGCAACGTCACAGAATATGATGTATACTTGTATTGCAATAGTATCATCATGATGTTGCATGCAGTTACGTCCAACACAAATGTGTGTTTTTTTAAAAGAGGTAACTAAACTGATTCACTTTTGTTGTATACTTCCTACATCATAGAGATAAGTATCATAAATATGGATGGGGAGCTGGGAATGGTGTGAACACAAGTGGCAGGTGGAGGACTCTGATCTGAGGTGGAAAACAGTGGTTCTTTCACCTGTGTTATCTTCCTGGCTTTTCAAGTTGCATTATGCAGGTATAAAATAGAGAGCTGAATTGCCAGCTGTGTAGCCAATTCCTGCAGGTGCCTTTTCAAAAAACTCTTCAAAGCAGTATTCTTCCTTTACCTTATTTTTAGAAAAGTTGTGAAGCTGCTCTGGGGGTCAAAATGAGGATACAGGATACAGGCACTCCCTGTAAATGCTCTATTCAGCCACCTTTTCTGTGTTCAACTGAACCAGGTTGATGCTGTGTCCCAGATGTCAAGTGCCTCAGACAGTGGTCCTGATGGAGAGGAGACCTCTAAAGACATGCTAGTTTCCCAAGGTATAACTTTTTTTGTATTTTTCATATGTGCACGTGTACGTGTGCATGTGCCTGTGAGTGTGTGTGCACCCGTAAGTCATGGCAATCTCTGGTGACTGACTCCTACAAGGGACTAGAGGAAATTCAGAGAGGTGGCTGGATAAAGCCTGCCCCCACCTCCTGACTGCTGATATTCCAAGGAGGTCTCCCATCCAAGTACTTGCCAGAGTCGACCCTGCTTAGCTTCTGAGATCTGATGAGATTGGGCTTGTCTGGGCTATCCAGGTCAGGGCAAGAGGTGCTAGTTTTGAGTCTCGTAGCACTTTAGAGACCAACAAGATTTTTGCAGTATAAGATTTCAAGACTCAAAGCTCTCTTTGTCGTATCTGACAAAGATCATTTCCACACAAGTGCAAACCTCTGCATCAATGTTCTTAAATAATTAAAGTTTGTAAAACTTTCTGTGCAACCTTTGCCTCCCCAGGAGTAGATCCAAATTTAATGTCCTGTTATCCTGTGTTTCCTGAATCCACCTTTTCTGTGATTTTCCCTCCCTTCGGATCTGAACTTGCAGTTTTCTTTCTTTCTTTTTTAAAAATAATTTTTATTGTGAATTTTTGAACCAAAAGATAAAAACTAACCACAGATATTAAGAAAAAAGGAAATAAAAACTAACCAAAGATATGAAGAAAAAAGGAAATAAAATCCTTTCCCTCAGTATATAAAATGGAACTGCTAGTCTGTTTTGTTAAACCTCAGGATCCTGGCAGAAAGGCTCAGCAAGGAGACACATGTTACATCCAGGGGAGGCTAGCCAGAGGGCTCAAACTCTGGCAATTCCAGTTGTATACAACAGCTTGAAAAACTATCACAGATTTGCCCCCAGAATAGGGATGGCTATGAACCACATTTTTGTGGTTTGGTTTGTGGTTCGAACCACAAACCCATAGGCCAGTTTGTGAACTGAACTGGTTCATATTGGTTCATAAGCCATTTAAAGTCTAAACCCCAACTTTCTGCTTCCCGTGAAAAGTGAAAGGGAGCAGAAAGCAGGGGTTTAAACAGCTCAGAGCCACTTAAATTCCTGTTCCCTCTGAAAAGCAGTGGCCCGGAGAAAGCAGGGGGTGAAATGCCTCCCAGTCATTTCACCCCCTACTAAGCTCGTTGCCAAAAGCTGCACTGAGCAAAAAGCTGGGTGTGAAATGGCTTGGATCCATTTAAACCAAACAGCTGAGCGGTGGGGAGCTCTCCACCACTCAGCTGTTTTTCATGAAGAGCAGAAAGTAGGGGTTTAAATGGCTAAGAGCCATTTAAATCCCTGTTTTCTGCTCTTCATGAACTGCCATGAATGGCATCAAAATTTGTGGAAGTTCATGATGGCTCTTAAGTTTGCGAACATCACTTCATGAACCACGAACCAGCCAAAACTTGTGACAAAATTAGAATTAAGACCTTGGATTACCACCCTGACTTTAACTGGGATCCCTCCACAGATCCTCCAGAAGGGCTATGCATTCTTTTTATTTATTCCTTAATCCATCCTCTCCGACATTTTAAAATATTAGGAAGGTATGTATCTCCTCAATCTGAGAGGCAGAATGGGTATCTCAGTGCAGTGAAGCATGTCTGCCACTTCAAAAAGAGGAAGCCAGGTAACTGACAATTTGCTTGGGAACAAACACATTCACTTGCATACATTCAACTGCCCTCCCATCCTTTCATAGTAATAGCAGTGTCTCAGTTAATTTATTTTTGTATTACATCAGCATGCAACAGGATCTGCACTAGAGGCGACATGTTAGCACATCCGTCTCTGAGCTAATATTTTTATTCCCTTTTGCTACGTTTTCCTTGGAATAGGATCTAGCCAAATGGTTATGTTTTTAACTTAACTTAACCCTTAATAAATTTTCTAAACTTTCTTTCTAATCTGAGGGTTAGGTTAATGCAATCTTGGGCTGTATCAACAGAGGCATAACATCCAGTTCACAAGATATCAATAGTCTCACTGTAGACTGCATTGGTCAGGCTACACCTGGAGTATTGTGTGCAGTTCTGGAGGCCTTACTTCAAAAAGGATGTGAACAGAATGGAGCACGTGCAGAGGAGAGTGACAAGGATGACTGGGGGCCTGGAGACCCAGCCCTGTGAGGAAAGGCTGAGGGACTTGGGAATGTTTAGTCTGGAGAAGAGGAAGTTGCAGGGGGACATGATTGCTCTCCTTAAGTATTTGAAGGGCAGGGAGCTGTTCCGGTTGGCAGCAGAGGATAGGACCCGAAATAATGGGTTTAAATTATGGGCGGGAAGGTTAGGGAATCTTAGGGAAAACGTTGTTACAGTAAGAGCGGTACAACAGCGGAATCAGGGAGGTGGTGAGCTCCCCCTCACTGGCAGTCTTTAAGCAGCATCTGGACAAACACTTGTCAGGGATGCTCTAGGCTGATCCCCCATTGAGCAGGGGGTTGGACTGGATGGCCTGGATGGCCCCTTCCAACTCTGTGCTTCTATGATTTCATGAACTGGGTTTGATTCCCCACTTCTCCACATGAAGCCTGCTGGGTGACCTTGGGCCAGTCATAGTTCTCTCAGAACTCTCGCAGCCCCACCTGTTGGAGGGAGAGGAAGGGAAGGTGATTGTAAGCTGCTTTGAGACTCCTTAAGGTATAAAAACCAACCCTTCAACATTACCTCTGTCTTTTCAGGGTTTAGTTTCAGTTTGTTCACTCTTAGCCAATTTACCATAGCAGCCAGGCAGCAATTTAGGACTTCTACTACATCACCAAGAGACTTGGATAAGGACATATAGAGCTGGGTATCATCTGCATATTAATGATGACCAACCCCAAAGCTACGAATTGTTTGTCCTAAGTGCTTTACATAGAGATTGAAACACATGGAGGATAGAACGATGCCCTGTGGAATGGCACAGGTTAGGTCCCACTGATGATAATTGATTTCCAATAGCAACCCCTTGAGTCTGAGGAATGATTTGAACCAGTTCATCATGCATCCCCTTCTGTCTCCAAGCATTTCAAAAAGATGGTATGATCTACTGTATTGAAGGCTGCAGATAAGTCCAAAAAAAACAACAAAGAGGCATGGCCTTTGTCTATACTCAGACAGAGATCATCAACTAAAGCTAGAAGAGCTGTCTCTGTCCCATAGCCTGGCCTGAAGCCAGACTGAAAAGGGTCTAGAGCAGATGAGTTAGTTTGTTACTCTATTTGGGCCATAAACCAAATCAAAGAACACATCAGCACTCAGCAACCCCCCATTTTCATTTCCTTGAGAGATATTTTCCTGTTCAACCATTATTGACCCGATCTATGAGGTTTGAAACTTTTGGCTCTAACCCAATCCATTTTAAGGAACATTGTTTATCGCCTGCTATCTTAACACGGTGGGGGTATGAAGATAGCTCTGAGAACACCAGCACTTAGTCCCACCCATTGGTTCCCATACTGATCATGGGTTCTAGCAACTGGTTCCAAACCCCTGTGTGGGAGCACAAAGTGGGAATGTCTGCATGACTCCGCATTGGCCCTGCTATCCAATGCAGGCACCCCTGAAGACTCACCTTGTCCACCCCACTCTCACCACAGCTGCTTTTTCTTTCTTCTGAGAAACCTTCCTAGATTTCACTCACCAGGCAAGCTCGTATGTTTTACTTCCTTCTTATCCCCCTCTTAAACTCTCTTTATAAGAGGAACTTTGCTTAGATTAGGATTTATAGAACTGTTAGAGTTTATGTGCGTGGGTGTGCTTCTTTCACCTGTATCCTGTTTTGCTAATTTTCTTTTCTGTTAGTTTTCTTAATAAACTGTTAAATTTGAACCCATGCCTCTTTATTTCTAAGAATCTGCACACTCATATGAGTCATTAGATCTGATCCTGCTATACACCTGGGAGAAGATTCCAATAATAATTTCCCTGAGTGGACTTCTGGTTTGGACTCTGTGAATGGCGGTCGCATCTTCGGGGAGCTCCCGGAGTCGATTCGCCCACACGCGGCCAAGGGGGGGATCCGCACAAGCGGAGACCCTAAGGAACCTCAGACAGAGGTTCCGATCCGGGGCGCACAGGGGATGTGCCTCTTTCCCGGCCAGCTGGTCGGAAATTGAGGCTCGCCCCATGCCCCAATGGCCCTAGCCGCGGCAGTGCCCCTCACGGGGACTAGCAGAGCTGTCGGTCGTCACCGGGTGATAAAGCGGATAAGCGTTTAAAAGGAAGATATTTGGCAAAAACTGTGAGTTGCCGGTCGGAAACGGGAAACAGAGCGAAGCGTATTCCCCCCCAGCGAAAAAGCGCAAGGGAGGAGGGGGAAACTCCCCCTCGGCATAACAGAGACTGAGTTAACAGAGGAAGAGGGGGGGAGTGAAATTTGAAAAGAGCAGTGTTACCTTTTGGTGAATTGTTAAAAGAGAGGCAGGAAGATTCAGTTTCTAGCTGCGTGGCATGAACTTTTAAAAAGTAAACAATAAAATAAAGATGTTGGGGCAGAAAAAGTTTCAGGAGAAGCCGGCAAAGAAGCTCGGAGGAACTTCCGGTGCTGGCCCTC